CCTGCAGAGAGTGGTAAAGACTGTGGAGAAGATCACCAGGACTCCACTGCCCTCTCTGCAGAGCATTTATCACCGCAGGGTGCGTAGGAAAGCTGCCTCCATCCTCAAAGACCGCACCCACCCCCAGCATGGACTGTTCACACCCCTACCCTCAGGTCAAAGCCTCCGAAGTGTGAAATGCAGGACCTCTAGACTGAAAAACTCTTTCTTTCCGACTGCCATCAGACTCCTAAACAGCTGACTCAGGATCTACCTCATGTAATACCACCTGTACTGTTTACATACTCATTTTTCTCATGCATAATTGCACACTCACTCCCGAATATTTGCACTTCACGGCTCCCACGCAGCATATACGTATTCTCTCTACATTATATTGTGTTCTTGTTGTATTTTTATTGTGCTTCTTTTACTTGCTGCTTTAAAGTACCTTAGATTTGTGTTACTGCCTATTTAGATTTGTGTTATTGCTCATCTACTTAACATTTCACTTGTATTGTGTGGCATTCATGTGGACGGCAAAGTAAGAATTTCATTGTACAAGGAAACACGTTTCCTAACTGTGCATATAACAAGCAAACACTTTGACCTTGACCTTAACACAATGCACACAGGAAATGAAGCAGCTGCAGCTGTAAAACAAAAGTTGTGGCTTGACAACTCAGTGAAAATGTCCATCCATCCATTATCTATGCCACTTATCCTAATGAGGGTCATGGGGGGGTGGAGCCAATCCCAGGTGACATTGGGCAAGAGGCAGTGTACACCCTGGACAGGTTGCCAGTCTATCACAGGGCTGACAGAGACAGACAACCACACACACTCACTCCTACAGGCAATTTAGATTTGTCAGTCACCCTAAGTTGCATGTCTTTGAACTATGTTAGAGAACATGCAAACTCGACACAGACAAGGACCGGGTCGGCCGGGGGTTGAACACAGAACCTTCTTGCTGGGAGGTGACAGCACTAACCACTGCACTGCCATGATGGATTGTGAAGGTAGTTTCAGAGGACGACAGTTGTGTGATTTCTGTCCAGACAAACTCTACATCAGGCAACTTAACTGTATTGTTCAGTGAAATCACCTGCTGTGGTCTGTGGTTCAAATAAAAGCAGCACAGCACTCAGCTGAACTTCTCTGGATTGGGGTTCGGCTAAGAAAACACATGAAACAGTGCCACCTACTGGATTAAGAACACATGTCCAGTTTGTTTTGTAATACAGTGCAGCTTTGAGATCAAATCAAATATATAGTTTCACAAATGGGAAACAAATAGCTTGCCTTGTAGCAGGATGTTTCTTCAGTGTTTACAGTCATACAGGTACCTCTTTTATTCAATCTTAATCTTTGCAACTTGTCTTCATCTTTTTGTCATAACGTCACTCAGAGTTCACAGCACCAAACACCAAAAATATGTTATCATGAAAATGCTCTTTGACCAGATCTAAACATGAGCAAGGAAAACAAACACTCAATATGATGTTTTCTTCTAAGGACAGGAACATGCCTGGAGCTTCTGTAGCATGGCACATTTTGGAAATTACCTAAACAATAACCAATAACAAATAATACATGTTGATAGCCATTAGGGATTCACAGCTAACTGATAATCAGATGTACACTAAATCTGGTCCCAAGTGTCCCTTGTGTAGCTAAAACAGAAGCAGCAAATTCTGAAGGATATGGATTTAGTTGCCTTCTCCTCTCAGTTTAACAACTTTCTATACAAAAGGTGCGGTGGTATTATGACAGTGAAAATCATTTGATGATCTAATGCAAGTGAAAAACAACAACAAAATACAAAAACACTTTTTTCTCTTGCAGCACACTGGAGTAAACACAATGACAGATTATTTGTTCACTGTCAACAATGGATTAAAAAAGCATTACATACAGTAAAATGTGCATCACTAACTGTTAAACATCTGTATTTTAGTTTGTCATTCTCACCACTGTGGGGTTCCCGCTGCTGATGAGCTGTTCAACCTCGTGAAAGATGCTTTTACAGTTGATGGTTTTGTCTAGAGAGCCCCTCTTCACGATGACTGCCACTGCCAACAGGATCTGCTCACGCACATACTTCTGCAGACTGGAGCAAACAGGGAGGCTATCAGTCACTTAAACTGATGCAGAAGAAACTTAGAGTGACTGCAACAGATACTCTCTGAACACCGACCACTGCAGTGAGTAAGAACAGTAAGAAAAACAAAGCAAAAAAGGAGTTTGTACCCAACAACGCATTTACAGCTACAGCTTGTTTCCTTTGGACTGTATTATATTAAAAACTTTACCTGATTGCATTTTTGTGCGAGTCTAATCAGACTTCCTTCCAGGCTGTTTGTTGAAGAGAGTTTTGGTGATCTGTTGCTGCCTTCGTGCATTACAGTAACTTGTATGTCAAAATTTTCTGTGCTCTTCTTCTCTGTTATTACTAACAATGGACCAGTAAAAACAAAACAGCTTAATATGAGCATCAGCCTTGACTTAATTTTATAGACTGATCAGCCATAACATTATGACCACCTGCCTAAGACTGTACAAATAGTAGTCAATGCGGCTGTTGGTTGGCACTGTGCATCTTCTGTGAATCCATTTGTTTCCATAGTTTTACTGTCAGGAAGAGCACAAATGTGTTGACCATTCAGTGACAAACCTATGTAAAAGAAGTGAAAACTGTGGTCATGAGGACAAGTTAGAGGAAATTGTTTAGACAAATTCAACAGCCTCCCCACTCTAGGTGTGATATCACCACTACAGCTGCTGAATCTTTCTCTTCACAGAGACCAGTGTATAGGATTCCTCATTTTCACCCATGTAATAAAGGTTCAAACAAAATCAAATCTTTTGAAAAGGAGGAATGAAACTTAAAAGTTTAATCTACAGTAGATCAACCTCATCATCAGTGAGCCGTGGGCGTCCATGACCCTGTCTCCAGTTCACCATTTGTCCTTCCTTAGACACTGTTGGTAGGTACTAACCACTACAGACCAACAACACCCACCAAGACCTGCAGTGTGGGAGATGCTCTGACCCAGTCATCTCACCATCACAATCTGGTCCTTGTCAAAGTCACTCAAATCCTAACACTGCATGTTTTTCCTGTTTCCAGCGTGTCAACTTCAAGGACTGAATGTTCATTCCATCTAATACCCTTATAATCACTAAACCACCTAATATCACTTATGTCTGTGCAGTGCTCATGTATGTTTTATTAATTGTAGGGATGCTATACTGCCATGACCTGTGTCTGTTTGATCCTAAGTGCTGTATTCTTTCACTATGGGCTAGTATTGTAGCACTCCAGATCGGTCTTGGTCTCGAGACAGGTCTCAAGACCACTTTTTCAAGTCAAAGTGTTTATTGTCATATGCACAGTAAGGAAACATGTTTCCCTGTAACAATGCCAAGGGCTATGCTTTTAATCTGTCAATTTCTTATTTTACTGATATTTATTTATTCTTACAACTTATGTATAACTGCTCATAATGACATAGGCCATTTGTGTACCCTGTACCATAGGATCTGTGTAGATTCATTGCAGAACCATAAATCAAGCTTTAAGACTATGTCACAGATGCTAAGGTCAAAAACAGCCCAGTACACTTAAGACAAGGGGTGCCCACACTTTTTCGCCTTGCGAGCTACTTTTCAAATGAGCAATTCAAAATGATCAATCGACCTACCCACACACACCCACCCACACAAAATATATGTATGAATGAGTGTCGTAGTTTTTATGAACGGTCTGAAAGTGCCGCGCCACATTTCCCTTCTTCAGAATAGTGATGGTAGATTGGTAGATCAAGCAAACGCATTTCGAATATAACGTCCTGAAAAAAAAAGTCCTCCTCCCATTCTGCATGGAATGTTTTCGGTTTCTTACTTGATTCGGCTCCCCCACTCATTTTATACCCTTTAATTCAAAGGCTGACAAGTTAGTTCGCTCACTGGAGTTTTGCGGTAGCTTGTGTGGTTGACTGTGTTTGGTGACTCGTGTCAGAAAAGACAAGATCTCAGACTGGCTGCCCTGCATGTCAATCAAGTAGCAAATGCCATAGGGAGGATGGATGATAGGCTATATATGAATGATTGTCACTTTCTGCTTTTCCTGTTAGGGGTCACCACAGCGAATCGTCACACTGACCATTCGCATGTTAATATTTGGCACGTGTTTTACGCCGGATACATCCAATTTATTTTTGAATGGCACCCGATCTACCAACACTACCTTTGTGATCGACGTATTGGGCACCCCTGCTTCAGACACACACAGGTTTAATTGTGCCCCTTTCTTACTTTGGTCTTTGTAAGACGTAGGTGAGGAGGAATGTCCGGAGCGACTCGATGCTGGTCTTCTCTAGCAGGATCCACTCCCGCACTACGGCCTCCATGATGGCCGTGGCTGCCTGGAACAGCACATAGTCCACCTTACTGGTCTCTGGACAGGGAAAAAGGAGAAATGAGAAATATAAGGCGGCAAAAAGATTAATGAGAATAAGGAGTTTAGAAGGGATGAAATGAACTGCTGAGAAAAGTCATTCTGCTTTTTGAGTCAGCAGGTTTACATACAAAGACATAAATGAAAGTTAAATAGCTGCATGTTGAACATTTGTTTTGTACAAGTTCGTTACAGATAAATTTAAATATAAACCCAAATATGCATTACATCCTGCAACACCTCAACTCCCCAGGGACCTATGCACGGGCCCTCTTTGTGGACTTCAGCTCAGCGTTCAACACCATCAACCCGGACATCCTCCACTCCAAACTGACCCAGCTCACTGTGCCTGCCCCACCTGTCAGTGGATCACCAGCTTTCTGACAGACAGGAAGCAGCAAGTGAGGCTGGGGAAAACCACATCCAGCACCTGGACAATAAGCACAGGTACCCGGCCAGGGATGTGTGCTCTCCATTCTGCTGTGTTCACTCTACACCAGGGGTGTCAAACTCAATCGCACAGGGGGCCAAAACTCAAAGCACACTTTAGGTCGCGGGCCGAACAGGATAAACATTTATTGAACAGACTAAAACTAAATGTTTTTTGAACATAAATATGAATCAAAACAGACAGAATACAATATTATTCCAAAATAAATGAACTTAAAATCACCAACCCTATTTCTGCTAAGGCTTAGTACATACACCTGCTTTTTGTCTGGACACCAGACGTCGCACACTTTCATCATGCAGCTCTTCAGAAACTCTCCCCCGGTAAATGTCCGGGCTGATTTTCTCCTCTGCCACAATAAAACTTGCTTTCACAGCAGCTTCACTGTGTGATTTAGCTTTGGTGAAAACGTCTGCTGTGATGTCAGATTCCTCTTCAACTCCTCTACCTTCTGTAGCTTCTGCTCTGCATTCACGTTTTTCAGCTTGTCCTGATGTTTTGTCTCGTAGTCTTAGGTTATATTCCTTAATTACAGCCACATTAGCTCCACAAATAAGACACACAGGTTTACCGACAATGTCAGTAAACATATACTCAGCCTCCCACCGGTTTAGAAAGGGTCTGTTTTCAGAATCAACTTTTCTCTTGGCCATTGTTAGGGGCTAGCTTGATTGATCTTTTGTAATTGACGCAGGAATGATCGCAGGTAGTCTATCGTTCGGTAAGGCAGCTGTTGCACTGCATTATGGGATTTGTAGTTTGTGTGTTATCGGCGCTTCATATCACCGGGCCATTAAAAAGATATATAAAATGATCTTGCGGGCCTTGAGTTTGACACATGTGCTCTACAACAACTGCATCTCGAAGGACCCCTCTGTCAAGCTACTAAAGTTTGCTGATGATACAATGGTCATTTGTCTCATCTGGGATGGCGACGAGTCAACCTACAGACAGGAGGTTGGGCAGCTGGTCCTGTGGTGTAGCTGCAACAACCTGGAGCTGAACATGCTCAAAACAGTGGAGATGACAGTGGACTTCAGGAATTTCACAATGAGCCTTCCTTTGTCTGTCTGCATTGTCTACTGCCTGTTTATACTGCTTATTTTGCATTGTTTGTTGCTTGTTAATGCTGCTTATTTTGTTATACACAGCCTTATGCTGGTTTACTGTTTACTTGCCCCTTGCATGGGGATACGTACATGCACATTGAGAGCCAATGTACCAGAGTCAAATTCCTTGTGTGTCCGACACACCTGGCCAATAAAGCAGATACTGATATTTATCATAAAGAAAGTTTATAAATGTCAAATCAAAACAAGATTAGGTCTGCAACTAACTGATTGCTTTCACGCATTTGATCAGACAATACTGAAAAAAACCTTAAAGACCTTTGCAAGATCTTAAATCATCATCAGAATTTAAATATTAAGTAAAATCAGGCTAAATAAATTATTATTATTATTAAGAAGGTTTTCACATGATAGTTTGAATGAATGTAAGAAGGCAGTAAAGTGTTATTAATATGGCACATTTCTTTAAAAACTGAACATGCTTTACATTAAACATTAAAATGCAAACACCAACAAGTAACACAGTGTGTTATGTTCACTTAGCTAAAACTAAAGCAAGTCCTCCCTTCATGAATGTGATCGTGTTCAGCTCAGTTCAGTTGATCATAATATCAATGGCTGAAGCCCAGACTGGATGGAAACAACCCAGGACAAAGCGAATGTGCCCTCTGCAGCTCTCAGAAAACAGCACACTTGTTCAGTCTTTCCTGGGTAAATGCGTGTTTATAAAGTCATGTAGGGTAAAAAAAAAGCTATGCAGGCTGAATATTAAAGTCGATAGTTACCTAGGATGTGCTTGCAAATGGCAAAGGGGGACTTAGATTTCCTGAAGGAGAGGAATATGTGTTCAGCATGCTGCCTCTGTTCTGTGCTGACCATGGACGGCGGTGCCTGCAATAAACACATAAAGTAAGAATTTTGAGTCTATGATTTCTGGAAACGAAAGCACAAATTCTATACATAGTTTCAGAACTGAGTTAACACACTTCTCTGGACAAATTCAAGTTTATATATGTTACTTTCAAGGTTTTGTTTAGTGGAATATGTTTCTTTTTGTTCTTGTTAGCATAGTGCCAACAGTGGAAGCATGACTTTCATTACGTTGCCCATGAAAGCAATGACAAAAAAATGTGCTTTGTAATATGTTTGTCCACAACAGAAGCATGAGTTTATAGATTTCAGGGTCAACAACATACAGTACATTTTAACGCAAAAAAACTACAACGATCATGAGGATTATATTAGCGTAGTATTTCTTTTTGTAAATATTTTGAATTTCATAAGATGCAGATGCTGCAGCATAACATGATACATCCGATCACTAACGAATGTAGTGAAGGTGTGTGGTGAAATTGCAGATCAGACAAAATGTTCCAGCTGAGGAGAAAGACATTGTATTGGCATATGAGTGACAAACAAATCAATGTTTCAGGTGCCAGATATAACAATGCTTCATATTGATTTTGCCAAGTCAAGATCTCCAGATGAAACACTCCATTTTCAAACTGCCCCCATATCAACACAAAAATGTAGGAATAAGAGCTTGAACTGGCTAATTGGCAGCCACCAGGAGAAGAGGTACAATGCATCAAGAGTTCAACTGTGGACCTCACATCTGGGGACCCCAGGTCTGTGAGCCAATGGCAAGAGAGTAGGGTCCCCAGTAATGAAGTGCATCACTTCCTTTTCTGCTAAACAAGTATACAAGCAAAGAGGCTTCACTTTGTGTTAATTGTATGGATGCTGATTCAGCATCCATACAATGTTTTCCAATTATTTATTTCTTTATTATTATGATTATTATTATTATTATTCAGTATGTTTTTGGCACTTAACTACTTCAGCATACTTTCAGCTAGAAAAGCCATTCAGGTATCAAAATGTTCGGCTTTTTCAGGACATGCGCGGATGTATACAACTTTTTTGTAACTTTAATACTTTTTAAAATATTTAGCTTTATTCTGAAAATTTTTCCCCATGCATACTTGCAGCTAGCAAAAGCATTCAGGTGTCGAAATATTAAGCATTTTCAGGGCGATCTTTCAGCACTCAGCATCCATACGCATTTTCTTTAGAAAATGCAATTTTCTAGTTTAACTCCTTTCTTCTCTGAATGAAAATGAAACATTGCTTTCTGTGTAAAAACCAGCAACAACTGGAATCCAAGAGAGCAAAGTGAAAAGTGAAATGTTCACATGTTACTAGGCCAGGACATAACTATCTAAAGTTTTTAATTAGAGGATGTTTCTAACTGTTTGCATTATATCATTAGTACAGCTGTGGGGAAAAAAAACTTGCAGAATCAAAACTATTTCTGACAATACACAGCTGACTAATGTGCTGTTAAAGATTAGTTTGCTGTATTTGTCAGTACAGTAATAAACCATTTTATCTTTAATGAGGATTAAATAAAACTACTATATGTGTTTTATCTCCATGTGTCATGTATACATTTTGAAGGCACAGAGGTTTAGGCACACATGATTCATTAAACTCAAACACAGGTACTAACAGCATGTTTATGTTCTCAGTTTTACTTTATATTACATTATAATCTGTTTCACATACTTTTATCAGGCTAACATAAATGTCAGCTTTCCCAACAGGCCATTTCTCACATCAGAGAGAATGTTTAGCTAGTTTTTATCTAGCTCAAAGCAGTGCATTCATACTAGAAAACTTGAACTGTACTGTGCAGTTTTTAGAATGCACAGTAAACCTGAAGTCGCTAAGAGGAAAGAGCCCATAATAAAACCAGCACCAAAAAGAACTATTACTGTCACACACCATCACATTGATATTGTAGTCACATTGTAATTTCATGCCCAAAAAGTGAGAAAATTTTCATCTGACTGAAGCTTCTGACTCAAGCATCTTTCAGCTCCATGTTTTAAATTTTGCAGCCCAGTTTTACTGTTTTGGTCTCATCAGTCACAGTAGGTAGCTGTTTTCAGTAAAAATGGTCTGATAAACCCAATGTAGAACATTTGTACTGCAAAGCAAAGAGCAGGCACACAAAGACAGAAACTAGTTGGTGAATATAGGTTTAGCACCTCAAGACACATAATTTCTTTATGAATGTGTTGTTTTGTGCACACAAGCATAAAATATTGACTGTTTGCTGCAGGGGTTTAACTTTTTTCCACTTAAAAGAATTGTGATTTATTTTTAAATAAGAGCCTTGAACTTAAAACTACTCTACCCAATTTCCCTTCCACTTACAGGCTAGTGAGACTCAAAACAAATCCTAACTGTGCTTTGCCACTCCTATCACATCCTGTTTCCTAGCAACAATATAAAGTACAGATACCTGTTGCAACAAAGTAGTATATAGTTAAATGTGCCATGCTGTCATGTGAATGCTGATTACTGTTAACGTGACAGAAAGCACTAACATTACACAAAGCTCAAATTACTTCCAAATTAGAACCATATTATTTCAATATAAAAGGTTAAACTCATGACCATGCTAGGTCAATAATGTTAATAAAACATACACAGTGTTACATTCTAACACATCCTAGGGATGGCTCGATACCAGTTTTTCCCATCCGATACCGATACTGATACCACAAAATTTAGTATCTGCCGATACCGATTCCTGTCCGATACCAAGTAAATTGTTCATATATTTGTATAGATTTACTGCTTAACCAGGCCTTCTAACAGCATTTTACAGGGCCACACCACTATTAAATAGTCAAAACAAAATTTAAATATTTATTATAAAATCCAACTAAAAAAAGTGCAGCCGTGGAAACCATGTGTTCCATTAAGCGTCTAAACCCCACATTTTTCACAACAGAAATTGGTTGGTCATCTAGCAAAATGAATTCAGTCAATTTCTCTGTGATCATCTTTGCCTTGCTGGTCTCTGAAGCGAGCTTCTCGCGCCTCTGTAATGTTTCTTGCAGCGATTGTTGAAGCGGCACGCTTTTCTTTTTAGCTCTGGTTGTCTGTATATATTCTTCGTACTCCTGTGCGTGGTGCTTACGCAAATGTTTAATCAGGTTAGAAGTTTTGAAGTTGGATTTGGTACTTCCACCCCTGGAAACACTCGCGTTGCACAGGTTGCACTCGGCTGTTTTGATTCCCTCATCCGGAAGCCTAAAGTACGTCCACACGGCTGACCTTATCCACGTAGGGGCACTCACTTCTGAAACTAGTTACCTACACTTCACGTGACACATACTGCGGTCTGCTCACTTGCTTTACGATATGTCCGTTTAAGTTTAGCTAAACGTTGCTACACGGTATCGGATTGGACGGATTAAATTCTTTTACCCGATATCCGATCCAAATAATTTTGCACAGTATCGGCCGATACCGATGCTGAGTATCGGATCAGTACATCCCTGACACATCCAGAAGGTCAAACACCACATCTGAATCAAATCTGAGTTCTCTGACTGCTTTTAATCCTCTCCATCTCAAAAGGTCAAACAGCTAAGCATGGTTTTTGCTCTTTCTTTGTCCAACTCTGTGCAACAGACACCACCTCTTCACTCTGGTAGCTACTTTTTCAGACTTTTGTCTGTCCAGAGCTCCTTGATGGCTGGATATTTGAAATGACAACTAGGTGGCAGGCGGGACTAATTTACAGACGGTACTTTTGCTGTGTTTCTACTATCAGAACCTAATGAGCAGTATACACTGTACTTCCCTTAACCATCACCAAGCATAGTCTCCGGGGTTGATGTGGACTGTCTTGCTTTGTTTTGACAGCATTTTCTGTTTAGAGGGGGGTTGCGGTTGGGGGGGGGGGGGGGGTGTGATTACAGCTGTGTGGTGCTTGTAATGCAAATGCTTGAGGTTGAAAGATATGGACGTTTAACCAGTCACCGGCACCCAATTGAGGTGAGTCAGGCGCCTTAACAGTATGCCTCCAGGGCACCTCCCTTTGGAGGTTTTCTGGGCACGTCCAACTGGTAGAAGACCCTGGGGCAGACCCAGAACACCCTGGAGGGCCTATACTATGCATCTCATCTAGCCTCAGAATCACAACAGAGGAGCTAAAACACATCACTGGGGAGAAGGACATCTGGATTACCTTGCTGAACCTGCTGCTACTGTGACCCGACCCCAGATAAGCAGATGATAACGGATGGATGGGCCAGTGACTGCATGCATGCAGAGCAGTTGCTGCATGCATACACCCCCTTCCCCATCGCATTCCTGGTTCTCGATTTTAGCACTACCTCCTGAGGTGTGCTGAAATTCAGCTTCCACAAAGTGGGCACACTGTAGTGGAAACAAACGCAGAGCCTGTGATGAGCGATACTTGGCGTGATACGCTTCAGTAGGTTCCTATAATGGAAAAACCCCTTTTGAAAAGACAGGGTAGAGAAGCTGGAATGACAACAGAAGAGCTGTAGGCAGCAGGATCATGGAGGGGGAGAGTATAGGTGAGAGACATCATGTCCTGTCCCATTTTCACCAAATTAAAGGAAAATGGTGAATAAATGAGTGGAAATACAAACTACAGGGCTCACTGATTAATTTGCCGATTACTTTCTTGATTATTTGATCGATCTTTTTATTCACAGAATGTCAAACACTGGGAAAAATTCCCCATTGTGACTATCCAGAGTCAAAGGTGGTGTCTTCATGTCTTGTTGTGTCCAACCAACAAATCCACAGAAGTTCAATTTATTCTCATGTCTGACAAAGAAAAGCATCAGCTCCTCACATTAAAGACGATGGAACCAGAACATGTTAGTGACTGTTTCTTCAGAATAGTTACTGGGTAATTTTCTATGAACTGACTAATGGTTGTAGCTCTAGGTTAATGAATGCCTGAGGATGACAAAGACTAGCACTGAAGCTGCTCTGGAGACATGGCACTACAATTCTGTGTTGTCCACTTTATGCTAGCTTCTCCTTTCCTTTGTCACCCAGCTGTAAAATCAGACTGACAGCTGCAGCACTACCCTGTTCATCTGGCTCTGGATAAATTCATACTGTATTTACTTAATCAAGAACCACGTAGTGAATGGCGAAGCAACTTGCTGTTACACCCTAGGTAATCTATTGACGTTAAATTAACAAGTAATAAACCACAACAATCCCATAAGTGATGACAATTTTTCGGAGAACACCTCCTGAGTAAAAAGCGGAGGCAAAGCTTTGGTGTGGCTGCTGTGGTGTTTACATGAAGCCACTAATCTACGGAACAGTTTTTCTAAGTCGGTATCACGTATAAACAGGGCACCGATGTACACCACGTTTGCAAAGTCCTAACAAGGGAGGGAAACATGCAGAAAGCAAGAGCAGGTACTAGCTAGCTCTGTTAACCAGCACAGAAACTGATAACATGCACACGGTTAGCCTCTTAGCTGTTCACCCATTGTGTTCCGTCGGACGCCAAAGCGTGACAAACTGGGGCAAAAGGGCAAACACACGATGAAAACGGTGCTTTGGGAGGCAGAGAACGAGTGAAAGCTATAGACCGAGTGAACCAACAGCAGCGAGATGCTGCGACGGTTTCAACTGAATGTGATAAAACTTGATGTAACGGCTGGAGTTTCTGAAAAACCGAGGCACACAGATAAGTATCCGAACATGAGGTCACATTTTAGGGTGCTGGTGGTTTATAAGAGGGAGGAGGTAAACAAAGAGAAGAGGGAATTGAGCAGATTTATTCAGGATGGAAACAGGCAAGGCGCTACGCCACGCATAGCTCCCATATCGTCCGTCCGGTGAACACATTTAACAACAAAACCAGGACGAAGCAAACATCAGTGAGAGTCCCCAACCGCCAAGGTCCCCCTGAGACAAACTTATAGACGCATACCTTCTCCAACCTGGCTAGAAAATAACGCTGAATTTCTCACCATTAAAACTTTGGCAGCGCTTTCCAGCTGTGTAATCACTTCTGGTGCACTGACTGCCGCCATAGTCCCTCTCCAATGACGCGCCGTGCGCGCAGCATTGTGGGATTACAACGCTGATACCCGGCAACTTTACTGTGGAGGTAGCAACACGACAATGAGGAACATTTAGCTACTGTTTGTGACACTAAAGTCCTGCTGGGTTTAGCATAGTACTAAATTATATAAAGAAAGCAGTTGAGACCATTGTAAATGTGTAAACACTTTTTGTCTTTGAACAGACGTTTAAATGAAAAAAACAACAACAACACATGATCAAATATAGCCAAGGATGGATTATCAAAAGGGCCTACCAGCCAGAGATTCCCCATGAAATGAAATACTAAGCTTAAAGGCACAAAATGAGGCTACCACTAATAGACACAGCATGAGTACAAACTGATGCTAAATTCTTTGAAAGAGATTTAAAATTACCTTAGAGATGCATGACAACAACAAAATGATTTAAAATGGCTTCAGAGAGATATCATTTGTAGTATTTTTAGTCAAATTAAACATATTCTAGAGTAATAGTAGTTGGTATATTGGTAGCTGTATATAATAGCTTATATTAGCCTGCTGAAGGTAAAAGATTTACTCTACCTTAACTGGCTGCAACATTAAGTGTTCTTTATGTTACTGCATCAGTAATAACAATACATATGCCTACTTTATATAATAACAGTCTGAAAGTGGCCATTTTGAATAATGTACTAAGTTCATGTACATTTTGCTGATAACACTTATGTGCTTTTACAAAAATATATTGTAGTTTCGCTATTTTTATTTAGGTAAAAGATCAACTTATGAATGTAGTGTCAGACGAAAAATATGTAGTATTGTAAATGACGTTATACAGTATTTCATGTTATAATAAGGATACAACTTAAATTCACAGCAGTTCATAGCCCCACTTTTTGTGTTTCTCTGTCAAATTGAAGCGCTTTTTTTTTTTACCTTGTCCACTTATAATTTGTAAAATGTATAGTAACATTTTATCTCATTTCCATAAAAGGTATGAAGTCTTAGATTTTATTTTATAGTACATTATTTATGACAACTTTCCCCTGATTATCAACCCCCGACCATATTTGTATACATTTGTTAACAGCAGATGGAACTAGATGGATTTACTGTGCAGGATGACAGCCAACAAAAATGCAATTCTTCTTTGTATACAGCATTTCATTTAAATGGTATACAACTGATTTTGTTCTCATGGGCCCACTTATCCTAGATTTTTTAAAAATTCAATATCTAACTCTCAACCCATGGCAGGCCTAAAAATAACACTTATAAATGGTAACAAAGCGTCTGTGTCACTTTTTATGCACACATCAAATGCACTGAAATAAAGCAGGAGTGCAAGTTGGTTAATTTAATTTATACATACATTTTACACACAAGGACTGAAGGCATTTTTACAAATTTTCAGTTCATACATAAATGTAAAAAAGAGAGGTGTCTGCAATACATCATTTATAGTCATGCGTAGACATGGATGTTTGAACATTAGCACAAGAGATTTCAAAGGGGGGGGGGGTACAAAAAAAAAATCTGTATAAATATAAATTCAAGAGTAACAGAACTTATCATACATTAAGGAGCATTGAAGACAAGCATAGGAAATCAGATCGCAGGATAAGTCAGTTAAAGATTGTCAGTCATCACTCTCTAACCCTTGACACGTAAAACAAGAACACAACCAGGAAACAGCTCACATACTCTGCAGTTATAAAGCTATAGAGCAGTCCTTTCTGGTCGATGTGGATTGGTGGTTTAGAGAAGTGGAAGGACCTCTGGTCAGGAGTGAAAGAGCAACACCTGTCTACTTGAACATTCTCAGTGGTGGTGATCGTGAGCAATCATCCATAGTGAAGCCAGTGGTGCTCCTCAACACTGATACCGCAAGCAAGATACTGGTTCCATTCCAGTTTAACCCACCATTAAACACATTCATGAGAAACAGAAAAAAACAGTTTTTTTTGTGCATCTAAGTAACACTATCAATCTGTGGTATGAAATCTAAACTTTGAACAATCCAGTCCAACAAAATAAGACCAGAATCTTTATAAATTTTAACATTACCCGAGCTGCAACATTGTACAGTGGTGGACACCCTGTTTTTCTTTCCTAACACAACATGTTGCAACCAGAAATACACCAAATTGCAGAAAAAGCCACATAAACTGTATCTATGTGTGATTTTAAGGCAAACAGCCACCTTCAAATCATGTCACCAGGAGCTGTAATTTATTGTTCTTCCCACTTTCCTTCAAACTTTGCTTTATCTTGTCCAAAGCATCGTGAGACGCAAACTAGAACAAAAACAAGACTGTTGACGCATGTAAACAAAGCCAGTGCCTGTCAGTTTCCCCATATCAGGGGGAATAACAGGCAAAAAACTTCTAGAAAAAGAGAAAAAACAGATTGTGCTGCTCACTTTAGAACATAAGGCACATTTATAAAACAAACTTTCAATACACTGTCAAGAAAAATAATGATAAAACTAAATCGTCAGTAAGATCTTCTTCCCACCATTCGACCAGTCATGCAACAAAGAATCACTTGCTCTTGCTCCTTTAGCGTTCCCAGTCATTAAGTCAAATTGACAATACTATTGGAACAGTTTGGGATTAATTAACCAAACAGCTCAGTTCGACACAAAGAGCACTAGCGCCTTTTTATGATTGTCAGTAAGCAAGAATATAATGATGACAGAGCTCCAACAGAGAACAAGACACAGATCTATCACAGAAGTACAGACTTTAACAACACTCAAACATGGTCATTTTGGATAAATTTAAAAAAATGTACCAAACACTAATTATAAGGTTTATTGTCTGTGGTTTTGTAAAATAGAGAAAGTGTTTTTTATAGCAACTCCATTTCCTCAAGCCAACCTGCCCCACTCCTCCTCCTCCTCCTCCTCCTCCTCCTCCAATTCTAACCTACTTTGTCCCATCTCTTTCTAAACCAGAGACCTTCACTCCCTCCTCTCCTGCAGTCAGGACCAGCCTGGCTACAGGAGGTGAAGAGTCTACCAACGATTAGCTGCAGACACTCATCATTTTCATCATCGCCATCACTGTTGTCGCCCTCGTGGCAAATGCAGACACACACTCCGACATTCACTTAGAAAAGCACATTACTTTCAAAACCCAAGCACATTCGGCAATGAAGATAACGCTTCTTTAAGCCACAACAAAAGAAAACAGGTACACATGTAATAGTAATAATAATATTATGTAAATAATATTAAACAAAATAAGCAGCATGTTGAAACTGAACAGAAAATATATATATATAAAACAATACATTTGTACATTTCAGTACTAAACATTCAAAAGGTTGTGTTTAGAAAACTATCTATAATGTTTTTTTATTGCACATAGTCAAAATATCACAAATTTGGGTGTTGTAAGGACATGTTGCTTTGTGTTGTCATGAAATGCAACAGTGAGCCTGACTTTGCAAAACAGTGGTAAAACTGTGCATCTTTGTTAACGTGTGTGCATGTGTGTGTCTGAAAACCACTCAGCCCCACCTGATCCAACAGGTTCAGGCCGGTCCAGAGCCTGCTCCAGTTCTGCTTAATCTTCTTGAATCACCAGTTCTTTGCCTAAAACAAAGTGAATCTATGTGTTGTGTTACCAGGTAAGAACTCTGACCCCCAATGCCAAGTGTTACCAAGTGAACATGCGGCGAGGTTTCATTTCTGCATGTGAGGCTTCCAGTGACATTTCTGGTTTTAGTAAAGCCTGAGCTCAATAAATACTACTGTGGTTAAGCACCGGCTAAAACAGAACAGGAAATGATTTTTAGAGCTCACACTAAATTCTACAAATGTTAATTGCACCTGTGTAGATTAAGAATTTTCTTTTAAGGTGAGATTTGAATTGGTCAGTCAGAACAGATGATTAGTAACAGGAAGTGTTTTCTAATAAAAACAAGGATATTTGTAACAGCAACCTCTGAAAAAAGAAGGACCGGCATCTACTACACAGAACTAAAGTTGGCACAAAAAGAGGCAGCTGTGGATATAAAAATAATGAAATAACCAAACATACTGTATCTTGTTTGGTTAATTACAGAAATGTATACACTGAACGCTGCCAGAAGAGTGAGTGTTTGTTCCTCCAATTTGAAACGTCTTGATGGACACTGAAATCCACCTGCAGAGACCAACAACATCCTTGTCACCGTTTCTTACTGAATAAGTGTGCATGACCCTGTGCTCATGCATGCACGTGTCTCTGTAGCTTATTTTGCAGCAGCTGTGAAAGAGGCATATTGCTTATTCAGTCCCAGCCCCCACGATCCACAAGTAACCTGGTTCTACTCTTCACATTGACATGTCCAATATTAGTATAAAGCAGCTCAGGTAGAGCAGGAACTAGTAGCCCCTGTGTCAGAAGATGTTTCAGTCGTCCGTAAGACCGAGGGTGGAAGGAATGGGGACAAGAAACCAGTGGAAGAACCAGAAGCAACCGTTGGATTAAAACCGTTAAATCCAGACATCCTCACATTCTCCTTTGTACTGTCTCATAACAGCTTCACTCACGATGCAGTCGGTCACATACAGAATGTTGTCTCTCTTGGTCCCATCGGGGAGTTTTGTATTTAAAGTCACTGTGGATGCAGGTTTGAATCCACAAGGTGGCGATGTTTGTCTGTCCTGCTCCTGCAACTCAGCAATCACACATAGCAGATATGCATAAACACACACAGACAAATATACATATGATGAGCAGTAACAGGCACACACTACTCAGTCTGCAGCTCTAGACATACACTGGCTCACATCCCTCCCCCTGCTCTCCCTCCTCTTCTTCATCTTCCTCTTCCTCCTCCTCCTCGGGCCCCATGCTGGTGGCTCCAGTGATGCTTGGTGGCATCTCGCAGGCCTCTATCGGTTTAGGGTAGCGGAAGGGGCAGCGCTTGTCATCCAAGAATCTGCGGGAGGCGGATCGAAGAATCTGCGGAAGGTGAACTCGTAGAAGGCATGCTCCGGGTGCTTCCCGTGCGGGAAGCAGAGCGCGTCCAAGGCCCGGGTGCTGTCCCCGCTGTCACTACACGCACCGGGGCAGCCGTCCTCCTCCACAGGGTCAAAGTTGGACGTGTCCATGGGGTGGGCGATCTTGGGCCGGTAGGGGGCCGGCTGCTGTCTCAGGTTACTGGAGAAGTCCACCTGGGCAAAGAATGGGTGAGCCTTGATCTCTCCAGCACCGTTGGCCCCCAGCCGATCATCTGCGGAGCAGCAGAGACGACCAATGATATCGACAGCCTCGGGGCTCAGTTTGACCTGAGCGGGAACCTGCAGTGTGCTCTCCCAGTTAATGACCTGTGGAGGGGACAGACACAACGCAGGAGGTTACCACAGCTACAGCAATGTCAGACGCGCATGTCTTATTATGTTACACTTAGATAACCAATCTGTTGAGTTCACATCTATAATGTCTAATAATGTCATTAATACACGGTTCACTCAGCAGCCGGAGTGTTCAACTGTATCATGCCATGTTCCTCAGATGGGGTTTGATCAGTTGTGATAAAAGTAAAAATGTATGAATTTATTTCTGAGGACTTCATTTGCTGAGGAAGATCAAGTGAAATTAACACCGGGGAGTTCAACAAAGTGGTAGGAGGACAGATGGATTGTTTACATGGTCAGACCTGCTTTGACTGAACTTCCATTGCTCTGTGATCTCACTTGTAAATCTAAGGGGGGCATTTTTATTCTTCACTGACCTTAATCTGAGTCTCTGTGGGTGTGGGGGCCAGGAAGGGTGGCTGTCCCACCAGCATCTCAAACAGGATCACTCCCACGCTCCACCAGTCACACAGCTGGGTGTAACCTGCACACACAACACATATGAAATGGCTCTACAAATGCTCTTACTTTAGAAATAAACATGATAATCCAGTATTAGAAGTGTAAGTGCACAGAGTCCTATTTTCTGTTGTGCTGGCTTCTAGATAAACAGCGCCTCATGCTGGTTGTTGGCTTCAGAGCAAAATAGGAGCAGTTTACAACACTTCTAGCAGGACTACATCACTTCATCATTTAGTTATCGCCCCGGCTCACTCGGAGGCACCCAGTCAGCAATGAAGATGTAACATTATGCATCCTTTGCTAAGACGCGAGCATTAGCACAAGCTAACTTCCATCACCTTTAGATAAATGGAAAAAGTTTTCTGTAATAATAACATTGTGTATAAGGACTATATATTGAGAAACAGTTGAGGTGTGTTAAGCTATTGAGGGGGAGCATGTAACAAAGCTAAGCCATATTTCCACATGCTGTCTACCTATCCATCCTACTAACTGAATGTTAAAATACAACTGACATGACTACTTGAATGGAAATCTGTTTTCATAACTTTCATGCTTGGCTGGAAGTCTCCTTTCCTTGGTTCCGTGCGCATCCGTCACAGCGCACAGCGGTCAAAGTTCAGCCTAGTTGAACTCTGCTTGTGCGCTTTGCTCAGCACAGCGTCAAACTGTCATGGTTAAAAGTATCAGGTTTCAGAGTGCAGCAGTGGCTGAAAGCCCTATCAGTGTGAAATTGGCTCTACACAGAGCAGCAGCACATGAACTCCCATGTCAGGATGATTAAACAGCCCAATCAAAGGTTTTTCAGTCAGACACTTTTAACATGCACTGTCTAACTCCAGTAGCCACTATCCATCCTACCCTCACCCACCTTTTCGCAGCAGCACCTCAGGTGCAATGTAGTTTGGGGTTCCCACCAGGGAGTGAGCCAAGCAACGCTGGTGCTGCAGGTTGGCGCGTTGCTCCAGTGTCATCAGCCGATCGCCACAACGACAGTTGGATACATCATCCCAGAGGTCACTGGGCTCCATACTGTCCTGTCTGACATGGCTTCCTGGAGACAGAAGAAAAGGACTGCCACACACTGACTCCACAAAAGTGACGATTGTTCTTAGTGATTGGAGGTCGTTTGTGACTAAATGCATGTATTTCTAGGGATGGGCATGTCAAGCTAAAATGCTATTCGATATTCGCTGGGAATTATTCAACAATTATTCCACTGATTGTCTTATTTTTATTTTCTATTTCAAATCATAAGCATCTTTGTAAATGTCTTTTAATTTTGCCTTGTGTTACATAAAGCACTACATGGAGTCAAGAGGACACCATTCTTTGTACTGCCTTGTTGTTGAGATGCACTGTAAAAATAAGCTTGCTTGCCTTTGCCTGAATAAAATCCCAAAATTCAGCATTAGAGAAAATTAGAATAAAAAATGTCTAAATGATACTACTGTACTACATTGCACGGTATATTGTTACATGTTGGCTGCATGTTTACAACACTAAGTCCAGTGATTCCTCTCTTTAAAAGTGTATTAAATCATGTCAAATCATCATCATAAACAGTCACACCTTTCTGGTAGTACTTGGAGTTGTGTGTCCAGCGGAAGCCTGTGCACAGACCAAAATCTGTCAGTTTGATGTGTCCGTCCAGATCAATGAGGATGTTGTCAGGCTTGATGTCACGGTGGATGAAGCCCATCTTGTGGACACTCTCAATGGCCAGAGTCAGCTCTGCCACGTAGAAGCGTGCCAAAAGTTCTGGGAACACACCCATTCGAATGAGCAGGCTCATCATGTCTCCCCCGGGAATGTAGTCCATGACAAAGTAGAGGCTGTCGCGATCCTGAAAGGAGTAGTACAGACGGACTACCCACTCGTTGTCTGCCTCTGCCAGGATGTCACGCTCCGCTTTCACGTGAGCCACCTACACCAAAAACAAATGCACTCATTTGAACTACTCTGGATAACAACTTGTGATCATCAGTTTAAGCAACAACAATAACATCCACAAAGACACAAACTGGCTCTGCATCAGTTGTAATGGATCAATATGGTGCAAATGCCTCTATGTAACTGGTACAACCGCACACATTCATCATCTTTAGAACAATAATACTGTGGACTATATGTGTAAAAATGTTAAATCACCTGGTTGCGGTTGAGGACATCTTTCTTACGCAGTGTTTTCATGGCATAAAGTGCACCAGTGTCCACCTTACGTGTTAGACACACTTCACCAAAGGCACCTATGCCCAGCGTCTTGATTTTGACAAACATGGACTTGTCCATTTTGGCACGCCGTAGCCTGTTGTAGTTGGACTCCTTCTGGTTCAGCATCTTCCTCATCTGCTCCTGCTCAGCTTCTGACAGACCAGCCTGCAGAAAGATTGCAAGGGAAATGAACAGCCTCATTACTACACAGCCCTTTGAAGAGCAGCCTCAAAACAACTTCAAAACAAGTAGGCCTGCACGATGAGGAAAATCTATGATGTGCAATTACATTGTTCAATATTAGGGTGACGATATGACTTGAGATAAATAAATACCATAGAACCCAAACATTAAATAGCCTATGCTCACTGAGTAAGGAAATGAAAAAAATTATTTCAAACCTATTTTTACTGAAAATGCAAGAAATTGACCATAAAAAGCTGGTATTGTGTCAAAGTGTTTTCCCCTGCCCAGATGTTTCTCCCCTGTTAAACACCATTTCCTTTAGTGTCCCCTATCAGTTGTCAGGGCTAGGATAAGGTTAGATTCAAATTAGGTTACTAACAGGAAATACAGCTCGACAAGGGAACACACTTCAACACAACACTTACAAAAATGGCTTGCAAAGCCTTTGTCTGGGGCCAGGAGGAGCAGTGTGGACATATGCTCCGCTGTGCAGTGACCACTTGTGTAGTGAGCTAACTACTACCCCACTGTGCAGTTGCCATGAGCTGTGTGTCACTGGACCTTTGAGAGTGGTTAACATACATTACATTAAGTCAGTGGTTCTCAAACATTTTCTGTCATTCCCCACTTAAGAGGGGGAGTGAATTTTCAAGCCCCACTTGCCAAAAAAATTATAATAAAATTGGCCGATTTTAAAATACCAAATTTATTGAAATATCAAATAACACCAAGTTCAAAACTGATAAAATATAAGTGCAACTGTATCGTTTGACAGAGGAATAGTTTTCACTTTTGCAGCACCTGTCTCATCCAGAATAATCGACACCATGTCTACAGCAGCAGGGAGAAGGAGCTGCTCAGCTATTGTGTGTGGTTTTTTGCACTGTGCAATTCTTGAAGGAAGCCATTTGTCCTTTGCTGTTCACTGATGCAGATTTTACCATGCGATTTTCCTCCTGATAGTTTTCTGCCAGCTTTCTTTCAAAGAAATTTATTTCTAAAATCCTTGGAAAAGCTGTTGCAAAGCAGTTATGTGGTCTATATGCCACCATTACCCATCACTGTGTGTCCTCTCTCTCTCCCTGTACCTTTCTGCAGGTTGCCCTGGCTCTGGACAGCTCCAGAAAATGCTGCGTGCTCCAGAAATGGCATGGTTTCATTTGATTTACCTGACAGTTTTCTCAGCATGTCATCTTTTTTTTTGTCTGCTCGCGCTGAATCGCCAGCTTTTTTGTGGTCCATGTAACAAATGTATCCATTTACGTTATCATGCCCACTACGTACACTATTGGCCCTCTGCTTGAACGTTTTCTTATATTGTTGTGCTGCAGTTAACATGCCGACGTTAAACCGTTATTGTTGCACTATGGTTCCACTTTTTTCTCCTGGGCCCCAAACTGATGTTATTTTAATTTACTTGTATTAATGACCCATTTCTAATTTTCTCCGTTCATTGCGCCCCACCTGTTGTGTCTTTATTCCCCACACTTTGAGAACCACGGCATTAAGTAAACAACTGTAACATTAACGTCAAGAGGCACTGTGCGTTGAATGTTATCCTGATAATGTAACGTATGGCCATAGCCATACATTATATTATTCTATACACAGGACAGTATGCCTTAATAGCAGGCAAGCCTTTCAGTTCTGCTGAAAAATCACTCTATGGATCATATCCCACATATGTTATGATTCTGTCTTTATACCTTGTGTCCTATTATCGTTCAAACTAGCACAATACAGACTTTACTCCATCTATTTTTTCACTTCCTGCCCTCCATCTGAGTTTCATGCATCATAATAGCTATGTGTTTGCAAACCACCTATGCTTGGCCCAAGTACCCAGGGCTCCACCTGATATCTCGAATGTTTGCATGCTGAGTGTGAACACATGTCATGTAAATAAAATGATTTCAAGCATGTTTATATGACTATGACAGTGAAAATAAGATTCATCAGTCAGCCATAAAAACAAGCTCATTTTTCACTTATGATTATTAACGACAGAGGAATGTGACGGGAGCTGAACTCTGCACCCTGACCTTTGTTGTCAAACTGTTACTAAACTGTGTGGGAGTAGCTGTGATATTTTCTCCAAGAATGCTATGGCATCACCTTAAAGTAGGTCAGAAGGGCAGAGGCAGAAGCAAGTGTGGACTCATTGACTCATTCCAAGACAAAGGTCTCGTTGTCTGACAGACAGTCCTGAGGGAGAATTTTCTGAATGACAACCTCTGCTCTGCACAACTCATTATCATTATTTACCAAGTTTTAGCCCATTAACTACAACGTGCTTAGTCATTACCTCTCGTCATTTTCCATAGCATGTGTTTCTTTACTGATTTTCAAGCTAAAGAAAAGCTTTCATTTTCTTGCAGTGCACTATAAAAATGCACTTACACTTGAGACAGGATCATTTTCACAGTGATCAGTTTGTTTATTTATTTGTCTTAATTTTACTAAGTTGATGCAATCCAGGATGCCTGGTCTACCGAAAAGCACCACATGATTTTGTTAAAATGAAAAATGTTCTTTGCAAGTCTGATGTAAAAATAAACAAGTGAGCCATGTTTTTTTCTTTAATGGATCTCAAGAAGAGTGCAAGTCTCTGGAAGTTGATTTTTATATTTTACTAAATGTACTATAGTTCACAGCTGCCTGAAATTGATCAAATGTGTCACAACACTTACAATTTGCTCTGGAAAATGGTTTACAATAATGTAAAGTAGGGGGAGCCATACTGATGTGCTCCACTGATTTCTATTTAAAGATGCTTTAATGAGCACAGAGCGTTGTAAAATATCTTACCTTGGACATCTCTTGTTCCAGCTGAAGCCTGCGACTGAGTTTCTGCTGGTAGGTTTTCATTACATTCTCTATGTGCTGCTCCATGTAGAACTTGAAGGCGAAAGGCGAGTAGGTTTTGATGCGGGATTCTCTCTTCTCCTCGTCCCTTCCGTTCTTCCTCACAGGAACAGGTGAAGTCTGGATCTGTTTCTTGTCTTTCAGCGTTTTTTCTCCTTTCCCCGTCTTCATCTTGTCTTTCACCTGCTGCCTCTCCTCTGACTTTCCGCTCCCTCCACTGCCACTGTGTGTACTTCTAGTTACAGAGTTGCTGAGCTCCTGTGTTCCACACATGGCTCCAGCTCCTTCCAGGGCCCCTGGCTCACCAACTGTCCCAGGAATGAGCAGATTTTTGGGGTAAGGTGGCGGTGGGCAGCGTTGCTCCTGAGCAGGTTCGAGGGAGTAAGTTTCCTCTGGCATATAGGCAAGCGGCTCTGCTGTGTCCTGGGCCTGAGCACTCATCCAACCAGGGTGACATGGTCCCACAGCTGTCTTGGGCTCTGGCCTCATAACACGGATACTCTTGACCGGCTGTTGGATGGGTGGGGATGTTACAGCAGTGATGGTGTTCGGTAGGGCCAAAGTGGGCTCCTGTTTCCCAGCTGAAGGGGGTGCAGCCATCGCAGGCCGAACACCATTGGGCCCCGCAGCTCGACTGTTGAAGGAGTTGGTTCTACTGGGGACACGCACCTCCCCCCTGAATGGGCCCTGAGGCTGGGGTTGCCTGGCCGGAGGGGCCCCTTCAGGGCCTGGAGGCCCCGCCCAGTGGTGCTCATACAGGTCCAGGTTAAGGCTGGCCCTGGATGGTGTCATCAATCCCTGGGGTAGATCTGAAAAATCAGGGCCCATGGGTGCTACCCCACCTGGGGGCCGGGACTTTATATGGACCTGGTGGGAGGTGGGACTAGCTTGTCGGGGGTGGGAATGAGGGGGCAGGTTCCCTTGCATATTGACATAGTTGTCTGGGGGTGCAATGGGTGGTGGTGCCATCTTATTCTGGAAGGAGGGGGTCCTCTTGACTCCATAGCCTGCAGGCTCCATCATGTGTGGCCTGGCATGGCCATAGTCATAGAGGGGGCCTGGGACCGGGCCCCCTGGTGGCTGTGGCTGGAGTTGCAGAGGCTGGCCAGGGATGTTGTAGCTCAATATGGGCCCGTGCTGCTCCATGCTACCAGGGTAGCCCTTCTGAGGGGCCCCTGGAGGGTACATGGTGTTGGCTGGGTTGCCCTGATTGGCCATCACTGGTGGATAGGTGCCCATACTGGGAGGTCGACCCATTGGGTTTCCCATAGCAGGGCTCTGTGCTGCACCAGATGGGGGCATCATGTAGTTAATGACAGGCGGAGCGCTCATATAGGGTATGGGTATCTCACCCTCAGGGCTGTACCCTGCTGCCCCCTCGTATATGGGAGGCCCCATCTGGTGGTACGGAGGCATGGCACCTGTCTCACCTGAAGCTTCTAAGGGAGGCCGGTGGTCCATCGTGTTTGGCATGCCAGCTTTTCCTATAAGAACAAGGAATAAGATCATTCAATTATAATAATCAGGTAATAAAAGCAATTTCTTTGAAAGTGCTGTAGCTAAAAGTAACTAGATCCATAAGCACACACTGTTTAATATGCTGTATGTATTGACGATAAATGACGAGCATTTAAATCCACTGGCCTAAGTCAACTCACTGAAGTTGTGTTTGTACCTGGTGAAGTTTGCTTGATGACACGGACAATGAGCTCATTGCGAGGGTCAAGGTAACCCATTTTGCTGATGTACTCTAAAGCCGCTTCAATGTTCCTGCTGCCTGTCTGCTTCAGTGCCCGCACTGCCATCTCCTGTGGAGCACACACACACAAAGAGATGCCAAGAAAGTTTCAACTTTTGTTGACTTTCACACACACTTTTCTATAATGCCCCGTTTTTCATTTAGCAACAGAAGCCAATGCTGCTTAAACACAAGTAGCTGTATAATACTTTTTACCTAAGTGTCTGAAATTGGGAAATGTTTAAATTAAATCAGAACCTGATCAAGGAATTAGTGAACAAGACTTCTGCACTACTTGGCGATGCCAAAAACATCTAAATGTATCAAAGCTCTAAATAAAACGTTTAAAATTATTGCAAAAGAAAAACCCCTGAAGTGTAAAACACACTGCTGTAGGTACTGAAGAAAAACAGGCATATACGTGTGCTATAAGCACATGAGGGTAATCTGCTTCAAAGGGGTCCACCCAAACATAAAGCACACACTTTAAACATGGGCTCAGAAGGTGCTCAGGCACCTGCATCCTCTCCACTTGGGGTCACATACCAGCAACTTCCTGTGCCTGTCAAAAATAAAAACACAAAAAAACGCACACCACCAAAAAGAAGTCAAATGACTCCTGCAAACTGAAACAGTAATTTCCCAAAAGAATCATGTATATATAACAAGCTTTTATAACTTTTTGTTTTATAGTGAAAGACAATTTTAAAAAAATCCTGAAAAAAATAAATACAACAACTGGAGCTTTGGACACCAAACTCATTAAGGTTGGGAAAAAAAGCTGTGCAAACAGATGTTTAGCTGGCATTCAAAGAAAACTAAGCCAAGTTGATGATGATTTGTAACTGGTCCAGTTATTTCATGTGACTAATTGTCTTTGTAGAGAGGCACAGTGGGACAGTGGTTAGCACCGTCGCCTCACAGCAAGAAGTGTCTGGGTTCGAGTCCCCAGGGCCTGATTGATTGGCGAATCTAGATTGTCCATAGGAGTGTGTATGGTTGTCTACGTGTCAGCCCTGTGACTGTACCCCACCTCTCGCCCAATGTCAGCTGGGATTGGCTCCTGCAACCCTATTCAGGAATAAGCGGTGTACTGTAAAGGATGGATGGGTTGAGTTTGTCATCTTGCAGCAGGGTTGAGAACTGACAACTGTACCAGGGGTGTGAGTTTTTATATAACTCACCTGTTTAAGTTATATAGAGACTAAAAGTTATGCATAATTAAGGACTGCTTTAAGTGAGGGTCATGCCATAGGTGGGCTGGCCATTAGCTGTCTAGCCAGCTCCACTCATACTCTACTTCTTTGCCCATTTTTGGATTAGCTGTAGCAGGAGGAGTGAAGTGCTACCAATATGGTGCCAGTCAAGACTTCAGCTTCAAAACAGCTCTTGAGAAAACCAACAGGCGATGCCACAGAAGATTTGTCCATCTTTTATATACAGTGGTTATAAAATACATATAAATGTATATTTTATAGAATTTATATACATATAAAATTTAGCAGTATGCACTCATTACCCCCCACAAGGAAAAAGTTTATTTTTTTAATGCATTCTTTCATTCTTCTCTAGGTTTTGATCTTTTTAGTGAGACTCACAACTTGCTTGAGTCCATCATATTTTCCATCAGTTACTGTATGGTGTCAAATTGGGTGAATAAAATTAAAATACTACTAGTATAGAGGAAGGGTAAAAAAAGGTACTTAGCATGTTGTGTTATGTCCTCCGATATTTCATGGCACCATAATGACCAGTGTGAGTGAAGAGAATGACAGCCATGTTAGTAACTGGAAGCAAACAGGGGGCCTGCTCTGTCCTGTTGCCAGTATATTTAACTGTACCAGTGGTTTCTAGTCAGTGGGATGGCCATGAAATTACTGGACATACATTCTAGGATAGGTTTGGCTTGGTGCACCGTCCCTTAGGTAAAGGCCTAGGGTGAGGTCCATGATGCTCTGAGCTCCTCTCCTCTCCATTTTATTTTTATATGCCACCATTACACATCACTAACCGTGTGTCTCCTCTCTCCCGTAGTGTGTCCTCTCTCTCTCCCTGTACCTTTCTGGAGCTCTATGTCTCTGATGAGCAGTCACCAGCCACATCAACCTGATCAGTGTTTGATTGTTGTGTCTTGTTGCTTTTCTTCTTTTGTCTCTCCTCTATCCACTCACCCCAACCGGTCGAGGCAGAAGGCCGCCCACCAAGAGCCGGGGTCTGTCGGAGGTTTCTTCCATTAAAGGGAGTTTTTCCTCCCCACTGTCGCCAAGTGCTGCTCAAGGGGGATTTGTTGGGTTTTCTCTATACTACCCTAAGCTCTATACCTTACTATATACAGTACCCTTAAATGATTGTTGTTGTGAACTGGCACTATACAAATAAATATGAACAGAACTGAACTGAAAAGCTCAGACTGATGTATGTCATGTTAGAAAACCAAACTCAAAAAACAAGTGACAAGGATACTGCGAAAAGGATCATGGGAGTTTGGAAGTTTACTCCATTCAAAAATATTCACATTTGGCAGCCACAGTAACTCTTAAATCTTGGATATGGGATTTTCCTGTCATGAATCTCTAGCAGGCTTTTTTTTTTTTTTTTATTTAAGGTACAAAAAAAATCTAAAATACCACAGTAAACATCTGAGATTCTGTTTTACTTTGCTTAAAGTCAAGTGTGCAGCCAAGCAGTTTCCATATTGCAGATCTATGCAACATGTTGTTTCCTATTCATGTAAAAACATTTTATTTGTCCTACCCACATGTGGGGTATGTGGAGCTCATCCCAGGCCTGGAGGCTTGTGCTTCAACAGGTGGGTGACAGTAAAAGCCGAGCGGTATGTAGGTCACGTGTGAAAAATGCTGGTTATTTTCTATTCACCAGCTGCTGTATAATTTATGCTTGAGCCACAGGAGCACAAATGTGAAGGAAGACTCATTCAGAACATTCCTTTCCACTTTTTGGGCTTTTATTAAACAATGCCAATCATTCCTTTGGTCCTTGTGTTCATTTAAAGAAGATCTTAAAAATTTTAATGCATGATTCAAATGAGAAATCAGTTCAATCAAAGTTTGCTCATTTTAGTCAGCAAACCAGCACAACATATAATTAGGCTGCACAGCAAGACACAGCAACCAGATGTGGTCTGGATATATTTTGAAATGCTGAGATTTACATCCAATAATAAAAACACTAAAGCCAAACAGAATTCCATCGTCTTAAGTCAGAACAAAGTGTCTGTTAGCAGCACAGTTGCCTGTGCTGTTATACTGTGCTTTTTCTCGTTGTCAAGGTCCTGGTTATGGGAACATACTGTACACACACCATCCATGTAGGTTTGTTACTGCAACCAATGTTTGTCCATTATTAGTTGACAAAACATTTCATCTCTTGGTTTCTCTACATCTCTTCCCTTGTGGTTGAGCTTTATGGACTACACCTTTCATAGGAGGATCTCTTCTAATATCAACTTTTACTTAAATTCCCTTCTTTACTGTAGAGTAAAAACACAATTCTATAATATGTTGAATGGAAGACATATACACCGAGTTAACCTAACCACTGCTGCTTAACCTAACCACTGCTGCTAATCAGAACTAAGTGATGGAGTGATAAGACTACAGCATCAAACCATATTAACTTCCACTCTTCTTCAGTGAACATGTAAACAACCAGAACAGCAGAGTGTGGGGTAAACATGAGGAAACCCCCTCGAATGGCATTCGATCTCACTGCAAAGACATTTCAACTCAGACCTCTGCCTGGCCACTCTGACAAAGCTGAGGCGCCCCTGCTGGCCACAGACAGTAACTGCAGCCACAAATCAAAGCCTGGTCTTTTACAGTAAAAACAAAGTATG